GGAGTCTGGTATTTCCTTTGCTGTGATCTATTTTATTTACAAGGAATATCCAAAGTCCTCTTTCCCTGAACACAGTTGGAATCAAACAGCAGCAGACAGCTCCTCTGTTCGCTGTCCCAAGCCTGCATCTCCAGCAGTCTCTATGCCCCAAAAGCTTCTTCTCTTAGCTGTCTCTCAGGGCCATATTCCTGTGCTTACGGGTTGTTTCTGCCTGGCTTATTACTTTGTGTCTGACTTGCTTCTGTTCCCGGGTCTCTCTGTTTGTGTCTGTCCGATCCGAATGCCCCATTACCCCCAGAACAATATTTGGTGAAAACCTTTCCTCCTGAGTCGTTAGAATTCCCTCATGTGTACAGGGTTTTACTTCAGCCGAGGGGATTCTGGAGCAAGGATAGATTTTTTTCTGTTGAATTTTATAGACCCTCTACAAATGCTGATCATTTTTATACCTAATCCATTCTTTGGGAGTTTTCTATCATCAAAGTTCCTAGCTGCAGTGTGTCATTGGCTGGCTTAAAAACTTTCTTTCATCCAACCAGAGAGCAGGAATGGGGCCATGTGGCTTAGGTGGCCAACCTATCACCACGAAGCGTGGCTTGTCGGATTAAACAGCCCATGACAAGAGAACATTGAAACGATTGTGTGAAAAAATTGAAATTTCGAATGTTTTGTTTTGCGCATTTTGAGCTGGACCCGACTGTTATTTGTTTTCAGTATTTCCTTTTCTTTTTTTCTCTCCCCACCCCACAAATATTTAACTATTTATTATATATTACATGATACTGACTGGAGGTTGGGAAAACCAAACTCCTGGGAACCTGGAAAGCATCACTGAGAGACTTTGGGACAAAATGAAGAATTGTGTATTTCCAAATATTTGGAAACTATTGATGCTTGTTTGAGGGGAAAAAAGCCATTTTTGAATAAAAACAGTCTTGTTTGAACAATTCATGCTGCCTTTTCCATCACTGGCCTGTAGATTGGACTTTGTATACGCGAGTGAACCAGGGTTCAATTAGGATAATGGGGCGGTGGGGAGGATGCAGGGAAGCTGGGTTGAGCCATTAACAAAATTGGTGCTAAATACAAACATCTAGGCCCAGATCCTCAGAAGTGTTTAGGCACAAAACTCCCATTGAAATCACCAGGAGGGTAAATATCTTTGTGGATCTGGGCCCCTAGCTCTTCCTATCAGCAGATCTCCAAGCAGTTTACAGAGGCTGTTGGGATCATTAGCCCCAGATGGGGAAACTGAGGCATGGAGAGGGGCCATGACTTGTCCAAGGTCACCCAGCAGCAGAGCTGGGAACAAAACCCAGCCAACCTGAGGTGCAGGTCTGTAGTCCTGCTACTAGGCCACACTGCTGCCCCCCTACTCACAGCACCTCAGTCAGAAGTTCTAGGACCCACGGCCTCCCCAAACCCCTCTGCCACACTGTTTGTAAATTTCACTTCCTGTCTTGTATGCTATGGAAACAGTACAGGTCTGATACGAATGTGTCCAGCACTGAGTTCCCTGCTGACCTGTGTCATCTGGGGCAGGCGCTGACTCCACCCAGGCAGGGAAGGTCTCTGGTAACATGTTGTGGGGCTGTAACACCTACAGGGTTGGAATTATTCCCACCCCCACCCTGACACCCAAATCCAGTAGCTGAAGAGCAGATACAGATGGAATTGACCTGTGTGTCCACACTCCCCTCCGTCCGGCTGTCTCTCCACCTGTTAATAGGGGCGGTACTGGCCAGCGCTCCCCAGTACCGGGCGATGCCGTGTTGCTGATCCCTGGCTGGATAAAGACCAGATTTGTCTGAGCTTGAGGCATGAAAGAGATTCCCAGAGCTGCCCTCAGATGCCCTGTGACCCACTGCAATAAGAGAGCCACGTTCCTTCGATAGATTCATCCATTCCAAAGCTGGAAGGGACCACGGTGCTCGTCCTGTCTGACCCCTGTGTAGCCCCAGCCCTGGGACGGCTCTGAGCTAATCCCGGCTAGAACTAGAGCAAAGCTGTTAGAGAAACGTCCCGGCTTGAGTTACACGTCACCAGGGATGGAGAATCCAGCCCAGCCCTTGGCAGCAGCGTCTCCGAGCCTGACGCTGGCCCAGCCACCGAAGGGATTCGAATGACCAATTCCCAGGCAATGTCATTCAGATCCTCTGGGCTGGGCTCTCTGGCCCGCAATGTATGTGGGGGAGGAGAGAAGATGCTCTGATGGTCCCCGCTGGCCGTCACTTCTCCGGCTTTACGAACAGCTCAGCAGTGATGTGACAGAAAACTTCCCACCTTCACGGTGTTTCCGTCTCTGTATTCAGGGCAATTCCTGTTAAACAGAGTCTGTCTCCAGCCATGTAACAAACACCGTGGGGTTCTCCCACCACTTGGGAGGGGAGACCCCTAACCGCTGACCATTACACTGCGGGTTATTGCATTGCTACGCCCCACTGACCCCAGCTGGGATCTGGCCCACTGACTCCAGTGGAACTACGGATGATTGCCCCACCTGGGATCTGGCCCCATTGTCCCCAGTGGGGCTACGGCCCATTCACACCCACTCAGGTTCTGGCCCATTGACTCCTAGGGCTGTGCACATCTGGGGCCCAGCACACCCTAGTGGATGTGCACATCTGGAGCCCAGCACTCACTTTTGATGCCATGCTTCCCTCTCCCGGGGGCTCCACATCCCGCTCTGGGGCCACCTCCACCACCAAGGCAGGGCCAGGCCAGCCTGTGCATCTCCCCGTCGACATATCCCTGTCACCGTGCCGGTCCCCCAGGGGTGCCACACTGCCTTTAGAATGGGCCCTGGGGACCGACACCCTGGGCTCCTGCCCCCCTGCTTCACACCGTGATCTCTGCCCGGTGACGCCCACTGAGAGACACTCCTGCTCGGAGGTGTCTACACTCCCCAGGGACCCGTGCACCTCAGCCGGGATTGGCAGTGACACCCAGCCAACTTTTCCAAAGAGAGCCGGGTTGACTGGTTCCCTGGACTGAACACAGATTGGGAACATCCTCGACTTGGCCTGGATGAGCCAAGGTTTAGGCATAGTCCATCTGGCCCTGCTAGTGCAAGGAGCCAGCCAAGCTGGGCGCAGCCCAGTTCTGCTCCCTCTCCCCGTCCTTGTTTCTTTGTCTGTGCCAGGGGAGAGCCCCCAGGTCTCTGCAAAGGTCATAAGAACATAAGAACATAAGAACGTCCGTACCGGGTCAGACCAAAGGTCCATCTAGCCCAGTATCCTGTCTACCGACAGTGGCCAATGCCCAAGGTGCCCCTAGAGGGAGTGAACCTAACAGGCAA